CCTCAGCCTCATGAGTGCTAGAACTAAAGGCAGAATTGTCATGTAGCCTCTCTCCATGTGCACTGTGGAACTTAGGTGCTCACACTATACATTTACAGATAATCCCAGCAGGGTGGTGGTGGTGCACACCTCTAATCCCAGCACTTGGGAGGCAGAGGCAGGTGGATATCTGAGTTCCAGCTCAGCCTGGTCTACAGAGTGAGTTTCAGGACAGCCAGAGTTACACAGAAAAACTGACTTGGAAACGCACCCTCCCCTCCTGCACAAAATTTTTAACAGACTTGAACATGACAAACAATGCTGCTGCACCCATACCACTTCGTATGACAGTGGATGGAGTCTCAGCTGCCCGTGGTAGTGGTCCTGTAGGCCTTTCTGTACTGTGTGTATGCTGTATAAAGGTCTGTCCCAGAATTGAAGTAGCTCAGAACCCCTTAGGAACTCACAGAGCTTTCTCTGCTTAACTGCGCAGTAGGAAAATAAGAGCAGTGTAAACTTTGTGACCTTGTTTTCAGGGATTCTATATGGGGACATTTTTTATTTTTGGTGTTCTCTTTTGTGAATTTTCATCTCAATAATGCATTTGCTTCCTTTTCTTGGTGCTGGGATTAAAAGCATGCCCCGGCACTGTCTGGCTTCTTCCTATATTCTTTATGGAGAAATTAGAAATTAGACCTCTCGGTCGGTTGGTTGGTTGGCTTGCTTTTGGGTTTTGGGAGGGTTTTTTTTGTTTGTTTGTTTTCTTGTTTTTTTTTTAAACAGGGTTTCTCTGTGTAGCTTTGGCTGTCCTGGAGCTCACTCTGTAGACCAGGCTGGCCTCGAACTCAGAAATCCATGCCTATGGACATGTCTTCTATTTATTTCTCTTCAGTGGAAGAAGAGAAAGACAGAGGTTATAACTGACATTTGAACTCCTAGTAGTTTTTCACAATTTATATAGAGAGACCACTAGTATTCAAATCATTAAGTACAAAGTAACATGGGAGTGATATCAAGGCTAGTGGGAAAACATCAATGTAGAATATGTCATTACTGCCCCCCCAAAAGTTGAGCCAGATTGGATCCCCTTAAACTATAGTTAGATTGTTTTTATTGCCCTAGGAGGTCCTGAAACTCCCTTATATAGAAGGCCAGGATCAACTAGGTTAGCATCTTAAAGGAGTTCCATAGCCTCATGTTCAGCTACCCGTAGCTGAAGATATACTAAGAAACAGTTGCATATTAACAACAGTGTGCTCTGTGTGGGTGTGCCTGAGATGATTTCTCTTTGAAGGAAAGAACTGACTCCTTTAAGATATCCTCTAACTTCCATACATGTGCCAGGCACATAAATGCACATGTATTCTCATACAGACATAAATGAAAATTTTTAAAAAATACAAAGGGACTTGAACACTTTTGATATCCCTCGGGAAAGAGTCTTGGAACCAGTCCCCTGGGGATACTTAGGGTGACTTTTTTGTTTAACTCAGGACCAGGAGATGCCTGGCATTGCTCAGTCATTTAGTATTGATCTTTAATTGTGTAAAACTGCCAAAGCCACAGATTTGTACATTTTTCTCCTTGACTGAAGTAAATTTAATTGCCTTTGTAGACTTTAAGAAAATTCAAGGGTTGGTAAGATAGCTTAGAGGGCAAAAGTACTTGCTAACCAAACCTGGTGACTTGAGTTTAATCCCTGGAACCCATGTAGTAGGAGAGACCTCTTACAGGTTGTCCTGACCTCCACGTGAATACTGTGACTTGTATATGCCTGTACTCACATAATGTAAGCACACAGACGTACGTACAAGTAAACGGGCAATGCTGTCTGATAGAAGAGTGTGACGAGCCAGTGGCTCATGTCTGTTAATCCTAAGTCTTGGGATGCTACGACAGGAGGATTGCTGTGTGTCCCATGCCAGCCTGAACTACATCAGACCCTGTCTCAAGTTGTTTGTTTAATTAAAAGTTTAAAAGACCTGGGCAGAGATGCATGCCTTTAATCCTAGCATTCAGGAGGCAGAGGCAGGTAGATCTTGGTGAGTTTGAGACTAACCTAGTCTACAGATTGAGTTCCAGTACAGCCAGAGCTATTACACAGTGAAACCCTGACTCAAAAAAGAAAAAAGAAAAAACAAAGAAGCAAAAAAGTTTAAAAGAGGAGCCACCACTCAGAAGCTAGCGCATCTCTGAGTTCAAGGACAGCCTAGTCTAGAGAATGAGTTCCAGGCATACCACCAGTGAAGCCTTTCCAAGAGAGGTGACCAGATTTTGAAAACTAGTGATGAGGGAGACCTAGATTCTAAACTGATTTGTGATTCTTTTTTTTTTTTTTTTTTTTTTTTTTTTTTTTTTTTTTTTTTTTTTTTGGGTTTTCGAGACAGGGTTTCTCTGTGTAGCCTTGGCTGTCCTGGAACTCACTCTGTAGACCAGGCTGGCCTCAAACTCAGAAATCTGCCTGCCTCTGCCTCCCAAGTTCTGGGATTAAAGGCGTGCGCCACCACCGCCTGGCTTTGCTTTTTTTTTTTTCTTTCTTTCTTTTTTTTTTTTTCTTTTTTGATTTGTGATTCTTTTAATGCTTTTTCTACTTAATTTTTTTTGTGTGTTCAAGTGCCCACCAAGGCAAGAAAGTGGCATTAGATGTCTTGGAGCTGGAGTTAATCATTTGTGAGCTTCCTGATAAGGGTGCTAGGATCCAAACTCCAGTTCTCCTGATTGAGCAGTGAGCACTCATGACCACTGAGCCATTGCTCCAGGCCCTTTTACTACACTCTGTGCGCACGTGTGCCTGCATGCACGGAGCCCTGATGAGTTGGAGTGTGGTCCTTGATCAGTCTCTTCCATATACATTGAGACAGGGTCTCTTGCTAAATAAACCCAGAACTAACTCCTTTTGATTATCTGGCTACCCAGGCAGTCCTTACTCCAGGTCATGAGTGTTGAGATTACGAGGTGAGCTACCCACCACCCATTTGGAGTTTATGTGGGTTTTAGAGATACAGACTCTTGCTTGCTGAGCCATCTACCCAGCCCTTCACTCTTCTTTCTTTCTCCCCTCCTTCCCTCCCTCCCTTCCTCCCTCCCTCCCTTCCTCCCTCCCTCCCTCCCTCCCTCCCTCTTTCTTTTTCTTTCTTTTCTTGTTTTTCTTTTTATTTATTATTTTGGTCAGATTTTTGAGACAGAGTTTTTGTGTATCCATGGCTGTTCTGGAACTCACTCTGTAGACAAGGCTGGCCTTGAACTGAGACCCCTAGCTGCCTCTGCCTCCCAAGTGCTGGGATTAAAGACGTGCACCACCATGCTTGGCTCATTTTATCCTTTATAAATGTGTGTGCATGTGTTTGTGTGTTTGTATGCACATTTGCATGCGGGTCTTCTGTATGTAAGAAGGGTTTTGCATTGCCCAGCGCTGGAGCAGTAAGGGCTCTTAGCCCTTAACTGCTGAGCCATCTGTCAGACCCTCAGCCTCACTGGAAATCTGCCTCCTGAGTGCTGGGATTAAAAGCATGCATCACCATACCTGGGCAGAACTCCTTTCAAAAACTGGTAATCTGTGCTTGAAGAGTGCTTTCTTCCAGATGTTCCAAGTTCATTTCCTAGTACACTATTGAGTGGCTCACAACCACCTATAACTCCAGCTGCAGGGGATTTGATCCTCTCTTCTGGCCTCCAAGGGCACCTACACATATCACCCCCCCACACATACACACATATTCTTTACAGTTTTTTTTTTTTTTTTTTTTTAAAGATTTATTTATTTTATTTATGAGTACACTGTCGCTGTCTTCGGACACACCAGAATAGGGCATCCAATCTCATTATGGATGGTTGTAAGCCACCATGTGGTTGCTGGGATTTGAACTCAGGACCTCTTGAAGAGCAGTCAGTGCTCTTAACCGCTGAGCCATCTCTCCAGCCCTACAGTTTTTTTTTTAAAGATTGGTAACTTCTTGTTTCTCACCGATCAGCCCATTGTGTTTATTACTCAGCGAGCTGTCATGAATGTTCTTCAATCTTAGATTGATGTGGCATTGTCCCAGGCCTCGTTTAATACTCAGAGATTGATTATAGGCCAGGTGTAGTAGTACACGCCTCTCTGATCTTAGGTAGAAAAGAGACGGAAGATGGAGGATCACAGCACCAGTCCGAGGCCAGCTCGGTCTGTTCAGACTGCTCAGGTTCCTGCCAGCTTAAGACCTAGCCTAAAACGCTTTTAAGTGGTGTCGAATTGCAGTTTCATAGAAGTGTTGATTGGAAATCTGGAAAAAAAAAATGTTTTCCCAAGGAAAATGGATTTAAGGAATAAGGGAAAGGGGAAATGCTGACAGATAGCAGGGCTGTTTCAGGCTGTGAACGGTTTGCTATGTGTCCTTGGACACATCTCTCTTCTATAACTCCATTTCTCTTCCAAGTAAATGGTCAGTATTCTGTGGCTCAGTGAGATGCACAGAAGTGTTGTCATGGACATTTAGAAGTATATTTTGAGGTGGGCCGTACTGCTCAGTGGTTGTTTCTATTTTATTATTTATTTCTACTTTATTATTTATTTTAATAAATAGAAATATAATAGTATTACAATATAATGCTATTATATTATAATACTATTATATATCTATTTATTATTTTGAATAAGTAGTTCATACTGGCCTCAGACTCCAGCTTCTTGAGTGCTAAGATTATAGCACTGTGCCATTTTGTTTTGTCTATTTTTTTGTTTGTTTGTTTTTTGTTTTTTTCGAGACAGGGTTTCTCTGTATAGCCCTGGCTGTCCTGGAACTCACTCTGTAGTCCATGCTGGCCTCGAACTCAGAAATCCACCTGTCTCTGCCTCCCAAGTGCTGGGATTAAAGGCGTGTGCCATCACTGCCTGGCACTTTGTCTTGTCTAGACAGTGAAGTCATGATTGTTAATTCCCAACTATGTGGTCAGGTGCTAGAGACCAGAATTTCATCAACTACTCTGCGCCATTACTAACATTCAGTAGTTATTCATAGGTGTGATGTGTGGTCTCTTTTCAGGTAGAATGGAAGAATCTCATTTCAATTCTAACCCATACTTCTGGCCTTCTATTCCCACAGTCTCAGGGCAGGTAAGTGATATTTATTTTGTTCTCCCCAGCGTTTTTTTCAGCTCTGAGTAGTAAGTTCATCATGCTGTTGTTTCTACCATGTGGGAGCTGAAGCAAAGTAAAACACGAATTTCACTGAATCTGTTATTACTGAGAGTTGCATGGTGTGGGTCTGGCTCCTGTCCAGAAACACAGATATCAACTCCTTGTTCCTTGATCTTCAAGGAAGACAATGAAAAGTCCTTAGGGAACAGACAGAATCAGGTTTGCTCTTTCTGAAGAGGGTACTCCTCTTCCTTTTCTTTTAGATTGAAAACACTATGTTCATCAACAAGATGAAGGATCAGCTGTTGCCAGAGAAGGGCTGTGGACTGGCGCCACCTCACTATCCCACTTTGCTAACAGTCCCTGCCTCAGTGTCCCTGTCCTCTGGCATCAGCATGGACACAGAGTCCAAGTCAGAACAGCTGACCCCACACAGTCAGGCATCTGTTACCCAGAATATCACAGTGGTTCCTGTACCATCTACAGGACTCATGACTGCGGGTAAGCACCCTGCTCCTCTCCAATCTGAGGTGGTGATCTCCCATGATCATTACCCCAGTCTGGAGGGCTCTGAGGACATGGGGAGTGGGGTATGTGTTTAATTCCTCAATCAGATTTTTATTAAGTGCCTACTGTGTACCTAGCAATGTGCTAGGCATTGTGGGGGATACAAAGAAGTAGAAGATGCGGTCCCTGCCTTTGAGGAGGTGACATTCTTTCCTTCTCTGAATCAAGGAGTCTCCTGTTCTCAGAGGTGGAGAAGAGAAGGGAGTCAATCAAGGGGTAAATCTCACTGTTACTGGGGGGACTGGGGACAGGGGTTAGGAAACCATTATTTTTGTCCAGGGTTTGGGATTTCCTATAGATTATGGGCTGGGGGGGGTGCGGGGTTACTTAGACAATTGTCTGGGGAAAATTAGATAGATGAGTGTCAGAGATGAACAGCATGACCCCATCTCCTTTCTCTCCCAACCCCAGGTCCTGGTTTGGTAATCACATCCCCGTCAGGCTCTCTTGTGACCACAGCCTCATCAGCTCAGACTTTCCCTATCTCGGCTCCCATGATTGTCTCAGCTCTTCCCCCTGGCTCACAAGCCCTACAGGTGGTCCCTGACCTCTCTAAGAAGTCAAGCCTAACTGAGGAAGGAGGCGGAGGTGGTGGTGGAGGTGGCACTGTGGCTCCTCCTAAGCCTCCTCGGGGCCGCAAGAAGAAGCGGATGCTGGAATCGGGGCTTCCTGAAATGAATGACCCTTACGTCCTCGCCCCTGGGGATGGTGATGACCATCAGAAAGATGGCAAGACCTACAGGTAGGGATCAAAGCCAGGGGCAGGATGGGTTGAGGGTCACTATTTGAAGTCTCCCCTATCTGCTTTGGGTCCTGCCCCAAGTCAGGCTCTGTGCTCTAAGCAGCTGTCTGCCTGAGAGCCATTTGCATGTCCAGGTGTCCTGTATTGGGATAAGGAAGGTTGAGGACTGGCACCTGGAGTTGTTTAGACCCTTTCCTCCATTCCTCCTTTTTAAAATAGAGGTCTGTCATAATTCTTGACTAATTTTTCAATGACAAGAGAGTGTCTCTCTTGTAATAAGGCTTCAGACTGTGTTCTAGGCAATGTCTGTAGCTTTTTTTTTTTCCTTTCTGTTTATTCTTTTCCAAGAAATCCTCTGGTAAGCACCTTACCTAACCTGTGTGCCATCCACCAGCTCTTGGGCTGTGTTGAGCACTAGCCCATCAGCCCCTGCATGGTTGGGATGGGAGGAGTAGTATACCTATGAAATGACTGATCCCTTTCTAATTCATAGAAGTCATTTTGATCCTCCACTTTTCTCTTACGTTGTCCATCCCAAAAAAAGCACATGCATAATTGCATGTGGTACTGTGTACAAAGAAACTCCTTACCTTTTGAAAGTTGAAATAACTTTAACCTCCTTGAGAGCTGTCAGGGTCCCTAGTGGGTTCTGGGCACTTGGTCCCAATGAGTGAAGTGGGTTAATTGTTTCACAGCTCTAATATAGACAGGGGCAGATTTGCATGGCTGGGAGACTGGTTCTGTCCTTAGTGTACCGAGATGGGCAATGTTGTTCCCATTTTAGGAGCGAAGGGAACTGCGGCACAGGAAATGGACAGAGCCTTGGGCTCATGGATTCAGTTCCCGGCTCCACCACGAACTTGCTGTGTGACCCTGGGCAAGTCCTTTTTCCCCTCTCTGCGCCTCAGTTTCCTCATCTGCAAAATGGGGAGAATTCTTTGTATGCCTCCCGTTTGTTGGGAGTATAGATGAGATAATCTTTTAAATGTTGGGAAGTTGAGAAGATGAGAGCTGAGCATTCTTTAGTATTATTTACTTGAATTGTGTAGTTCGTCTATGGAGACTATCCACAAGTACACTGTTTAAACACCTCTTCATACATGAAAAGAGAGGGCGGTGGTGCTATGCAGAATATATTGAGCACTGCAGAATTCCAGCTGTAATGCAGAAGTTCATTGTAGCTTTATTATTACAGGTGTACCCCACTTTATACAATAAGTGTTCCTGGAAAATGTTTACATCATACCATATTATAAAGGTACCTGACAAGTTTGATTCATTTAAAGGCATTCTTTTATTATATCAGTTAAATGAAAATCCCTTTAAACTTGGTTGTGTGGATACCTGGAGTTTTTATGTATATGCTTAACGTGAGGTCAAGTGACATGAGAGGCATTTGATAACGTGTTGGAGGCGGAGGCAGCCCTGCTGGTTGACCAGGGTCTTCAGTTCTGCCGAGTTAATTTTTTTCCCTACTAAAATTATTGTGGATTTCCCAGCTGTGTATGAATATACACATGGCTATGTATATAAAGAATTGTGAGTACATAGTTGGCAGGAACCCTTCTGGGACCTTCTACCCTTAGTGTTTTTCAAATTCTTAAAAGCCCCTATACTTGGATGATTAAAGGGAAGGAGCTCTGGAACTGCAATGACTATATCCTAGTTGAAAAAAATTACCTCAGAAACTTAAAATTCTAAAGTCCAGAGGGATCTTCTAAATGAGAAAGCGTCCTGGCCGCCTGTCTTACCGTGCATTTGAACTGAAAGGGGAAGAGTCCTGATTTTGGTGCCTGTGTCTGTCAGCTCCGCCATTGCAGATGTCAGTAGCGTGGCTGGGTAATGGAGGAACTGGGTGCTGCTACTGTGGACAAGTCCCCTTAACTGCAAGGCTTTGTTCCTATCTGCGGAGTAAATGGGAAGGTCAGTCAGACTATCCATTGTGCAAAAATATTTTGAAGGGAAATCAGAACATTTGAAATTGTTTTCAGCATCTTAGAAAAACCTGGGATAATAAAGTGATCATTGAATCCAAGGCCACTAAATTACATACCATTCTTGATGTGTCTGATACACGTGGTGTTCATTGAACTAATGGACTGAATAGGACGGGGGCGAGCTTTCCCTCCTACCACCTATCCTAGTCAGATTCTTAATAGCCACTACCTCACAGTGATGACTCATCTGGCTTCCTAGGACCTCCACAGTTTAAAATACAGGTTGACTATTCCCTGTTCAAAAGTGGTTAAGACTAGCTATTTTCTTTCTCTTTCTTTTATTTATTTTTTTTAAGAGTGACTGTTTTCAAGTTTGGGAATATTTGCATATATACAATGAGATAGACACCTGTGGGGATGGGGCCTAAGTCTGAACATGCAGTTTGTTAAGCTGGATGTGGTACCTGGCACACACTAGCAGTCTCAGGAGGCTGACACAGGAGGATCAGTAGTTCAGGGCTGGCCTGATCGCTATAGCTTCTCAAAGCCAAAATAGAGTCGGCTGCTGTGGAGCTTTTATGAGACAGTTGGGTTTGCCAACCTGTCTTAGTCCTGGCTCAGAAAGGTCTAGGTAACCCCTCCTCCCCCCAATCCATCATCCCCTTCTCCCTCTCCGAGTAGTGTGGCTCAAGCCTAGGAGCGCCCCCACCCTATCATCCCCTTCTCCCTCTACGAGTAGTGTGGCTCAAGCCTAGGAGCACTCTCCCTAACACTTTGGATTTCCTCACTCTTTCTCTGAAGTTTCTCCACCCCATGGAACTGCTGGGGTGTCCTGGGCTGCCTGCTTGCTAAACCTTCATGCCTGACTCAAAAAGGCATGGCTTTCTTCTTGTCCGTCTGCCAGGATTTACAGCCTGCTTTCTCTGTGGTTTGTCTTTTAGACTTTAATAAAATTGTGTTCAGGCTTTAAGTAAGAGAAGGGAATTCATTTGTTTCAAATATACCTTATTTAAATAGCCTAAAGGTAATTTTACATAGTATTTTTAGTGAACCTGTGTTTTGATTTCTGTCTGTCCCATAAGGAAACATGTAGAATTTTCCACTCATGAGGTGATGTCAGTGCTTAGTTTGGGACATTGGGGCATTTCAGGTTTTAGATTTTTGGATTAAGGAGACACAACCTGTACTTTAATGATCATCAAAGGTCAGTACCTTGCCCTGGCAGATGGATGTCTAGCCTCTGCTTGAATACTTCAGTGCTAAGACTGTGGTTAGGTTAGCATCAAGGCATCATCATAACAAGCAGCTCGCCCTTTGACAAATCGCTCATTTTGGAGCCTTTGGGTCCTTTTTTATAGAATTAGAATACTTGTGAGGTTATTTTGAGTAAAAACAAAAGATGTTTAATTAAAAGCACCTACTCTGTCCCTGCAATAGCAGCCGTCTGACCATCATCATGTCATGTACGCTAGGATCTTTTGAGACTGGTTATTCTGTTGCCAGACTTGTTTTCTGTTTTGAAAGGGGATCTCAGGCTGGCTTGAACTCCTGATTGTCCTGCCTCCCACTTCTTGGGTGCTGGGACTATAGACATGTGCCAGTCTTTGTCCTGGCTCAGAAAGGTTTAGCTAGTCTCATAAGACTAGTTTGTCAGTCTGTTTTCAGCTAAGGTTTTCAGATTCTTCTCTAACTAAAGCTTTGTGGAAGATTTCTTTTTGATTTCTTAACACACGGTCTCTCTGTAGTGCAGGCTGTAATACAAGCCCGTCACAGGCCTCAGTCTCCCGAGTGCTAGGATTGTTTTCTTTTTTATCATTAACTTTCATTTTAAAGATGATAGGATTTAAATTAAAGTGCGTGTTGCAGCTGAGGTACAGCTCAGTAGGAGAGCGCTTTCCTGGGATGTGGCAAGGCCTAGGCCCGGGCCCCAGCTCCGCGGAGACACTTCCTTTCACACAGTGAACATGTTCTGCTGTGGCTGAGAAATTTTAGTTATTAAAGGAACTTACTTCGCAACATGAGTCTGGTGTCATACAAGTGGCGTTCTGTCCAGTTTCTCACCTCAGTCTTTGTAAAATACTTGTATCATCATCGCCTCATTCATCGATATAAGGCTGTTAGCAATAATGCTGGTTTATTAATAAAGAACATTTAGCTTCTCTTTGTTCTTGGGTGCTTGCTGGCCCTTCTAGAGGCAAAAATTAATATCATTTTAAAGATGCGAAAGTTGAGGTCTAGGTTAGTGGACAACTAATAACTGAATTCCGTTGACTAGAGCTCAGGTGTCTAGACTCCCATTGGCTGTTTACTTTGGACCACGCTGCTCTCTCCTGTGGTATTTGGGTGTCTCAGTCGCTGATAAACTAACTGGTAGTCAGAGTTTGCTTCAGAGTTACAAAGTGAGTAGAGGATGAACACTGGGTATCAAGTTACTAGGACGTTAGTGAGCACATCAGTATAGAGACCACAGCAAATGATACTGTTTTCTCAGAGAGAACTTGTTCTTTCTAGTCTTGATCTTAGCTATTTTCAAAAATTCTGAAATGAAAAGAACACAGGAATCATCCCATACCCTTCGATGCCCAGTTTACAAAGATGGCTTAATTTGGAGAGAAACCTTATTTGATATTGTTGGATAGTATCAAAGCAGGAAGGATCCACTGGTTCAGGTGACCAGCTAAAAGTGTATTTAGGTGCTGTGGATGTCATCTATGAGTGTCAGTGTGTCTTTGTGTAGTAACAAAAGGGAAGGTTTAGCATAGCACAACATTGCTTCTCAGTCGGTTTTTCTTATTAAGACTTAAGGATTATAATCCAGTGCTAACAGTTTCAAAAGTAGTTCTCATCGATTGACTTGAGGCTAGAGGCAAGGGCAAATGATTAATGGAACATCAGCTACATAGAGACCAGAGAAGGGTTGGGAAAGCCCCTCCAAGTAATTCTGGTACTTTCCGTCTCCATCTCTTTAGCAGTCACCATGAAAGGGAAGTAGGGGAAATCATTGAAGACAGTTATCTGGAGATGGAAGCTCTCATCCAGTCAGCCTTCCTTCATCATTGCATGGGAGACTTGGATATTAAGTGGAAAATAGATAAACATGGAGAAGCTAGGAATAGGAGTTAATTTTAAAAGTTTGAAAACTTAACTGGCCTAATAAAATCTTTATCAGAGATTCTCAACCTGTGGGTCACATTCCCTTTGTTGGCCAAACAACCCTTTCACAGGGGTCACCTGAGACCATCAGAAAACACAGACAGTTACATTACGATTCATTATAGTAGCAAAGTTTCAGTTATGAAGTCTCAATGAAATAATCTTGTGGCTGGGGGTCATCGCAGCATGGGGGGGTATTAAAGAGTCACAGCGTTAAGAAGGTTGAGAACCTCTGATCTGTATTCACTCAGCTCATATTTTTCTGCCTTACCGGAGTTGAATGCTTAGTTTTGTATACTTAGGGTATCTAGTCATTTGCTAAGCATTTATTGGGTGTTTCTGAGTCCTGGGCACTGTGTCAGCTTAGGCAATAAAGAGAAATAAGAGGCTGGGCTTGGTGGCACATAGCTATTATAATCCCAGCATTTGGGAGGTAAGAACAAGAGTATCGTGAGTTCAAGTCCAGCTTGAGCTACATGAGACCCTTTCTTTAACTAGAAAAGAGAACGCTTCTCCATGGCTCAGTGTAGAGTTGGAACAGGAGGTGGGATCAGTTAGGTGGGCTTCTCTTGGCAGGGTTGTGAGGCTCACAGCACCTCCTGGTGGGAAGGCTCTAATGTTGCCCTTGCTTGGCCAGGTGCCGGATGTGCTCACTGACCTTCTACTCAAAGTCGGAGATGCAGATCCACTCCAAGTCACACACCGAGACCAAGCCCCACAAGTGCCCACACTGCTCCAAGACCTTCGCCAACAGCTCCTACCTGGCCCAGCACATCCGCATCCACTCAGGGGCCAAGCCCTATAGTTGTAACTTTTGTGAGAAATCCTTCCGCCAGCTCTCACATCTGCAGCAGCACACCCGGTAAGGCTGCTTTAATCCCTCACCTAGGGACGAAACCGCCAAGGCCATGTGGCCTGTGCCAACCATTCTCTCCTTTGCCTTTTGAAATCTTACTTTTGTTACTGTCTGAAAATTAAACTGTGTATCCTAGCAGTGTGGGGGGCCTTGAAAATTGTGATTTCCAGTTCCCAGTTCTGGAACGATCTTTGTGGTTTCTTTCTGTGTCTGTTTGGAAATCTTCTACAGAGCAGACCCTGCTTTTACTATATGCTTCAGTTCAGAGCCATGGTGTGCATTCAACTTGAGGTCCATGGGGAACAGGCGCTATTGGCCTATGTTCAAATTGCTATTTGGAAACAGGGTAACTGTGGTGAGTGTAACCTTAGGAGAAGGCCGAGGCTGACAGGACTGAGTGCTGTAAGGTTACCAGAGCCATGGGTTGCAGTCTTCATCATTCACTGCCATTCTAGCCACCGACTCGCAGTCAGCAGCAACCTAGACATGGGTATCCTCTTCATTAGCCTCTGCAGCCGGAGCTTTATTGGGAGGAGGGAGGAGGGGGTGCTCTCATCCGTCAAGCAACATCATTTCACCCAGCAGAGAGCTGAGCCCATGGTATCGAACTGCTTCCTCCTCCCCCCTTCCCTCCTCTCCTCTCCGGCAGGATTCACTCCAAGATGCACACGGAGACCATCAAGCCCCACAAGTGCCCGCACTGCTCCAAGACCTTCGCCAACACCTCCTACCTGGCTCAGCACCTCCGCATCCACTCGGGGGCCAAGCCCTACAACTGTTCCTACTGCCAGAAGGCCTTCCGCCAGCTCTCCCACCTCCAGCAGCACACACGGTAAGGGAGAGGGGCGGGCTATTGATCCCGCCCCGCTGGCATGTCCTCCCCACCCCCGCCCCGGAGACACACAACCACCCGCATGCGGGGGGGCGGGGGAGAGACCTGGCTGGAGGTGAGACCTGGCTGGAGGAGAATATGACTGGCAGCAGAGAGAAAAGAAGTGGATGCCAAGAGAGTCTGGAGCACAAACTGTATTGAAAAGACACAGTGATTGTATACTTTCCTGATTGATTAAAGACAGAGACAAACTTGGAACAAAGATGACTCTTTCCTTCGTTTTCCTCCCTGAAAATACCAAGCACACTTCTTACCAGATTTCTTGGTGCCTCAGGGCACCAGTTATAAATGGGAGATATAATCAGATGTAAGCTAGCACCAGCCTGGATACACTCAACAGCAACAAGCAAGATTCCAAGGGATGCCAAGAGCACAAAGGGAAACATGAACTGAACATTCCCAGAGAACTGGAAACAAACGGAAAGGTCTTACTTCATAAGTAGGACGCTTGCGTGTAATCTGTCAATATGGAGTTACTAGGGAGAAGGGAGTCTGACAACTTGAAGAGCTGATGGTTTCCTTTGCTGAGATCTCAAGATGAAGTCCAGATTCCTGGCAATTGGCTCTCTCACCTTGCTTCTTGTGGATGTGATGTTCTCACCTGAAAATGGTCAGACTTGGAGTTTGCTGTCTTCATGTATTTGAGGCCTTGATCACAGAGATGGTCTGAAGTCCCTGAAAAGGAGCAGGTGTTGGTGCCTCCTCATGTCTTGGGCTCATCTTAGTAGACAGAGTGCCCTATGGTGTTGGGGGAAGAGGTTGAATTGGTTCCAGCCTCTGGATTTCCTGTCACTAAGGGTTAGCCTGGAGGGAGTATCCTTAGGAATTCCCATGAGTTTCCACTGCAGTCATCGCTTCTTTCAACAATCATTGTAACTTGTTCTTTGATCACAGAACTGTCTCTGGATATGATGTTCAAGGTCGAGGGGACAGTTTCTGCCTGTAGGGTAGGGGCCAAGAAGGAAGTGTTGTATATTTTTCTTTTTCCTTATAATTGTGTTTTCCTTTCATTTCTGAATGTTCACTCAGATGGTTGCTATAGGAACAAGTTTGTATGTCAAATCATGCCCTGTCTGGGACGCGGATGCTGAGCCCTCAGCATCACAGCAGAATGAGAATCTCTTTGAGCTGAGTGCTGTAGGCAATGAACAGAGATCAGGCATTACAAACCATTCCAGGGCAAAGAGGAGCTGGAGCTAGCGCCTCGTGCACATGCGTCTGAGCGGCTTTCTTGGAAGGCAATCTGAAGAAGCTAAGACCTTGTACGGAGCTCGTCTCTAAGTGACCTTGCTCATGTCCATACTCTGCCTCTTCTCGTCCTGTATAGAATCCACACCGGTGACAGACCATACAAATGTGCACACCCGGGCTGTGAGAAGGCTTTCACACAACTCTCCAACCTGCAGGTCAGTGTCTGGGTTCCACATGAGACCTTGAGTCTGAGACTTGGGAGTGCCATTTAGCTAGTACTGTGATTATCAGAGTTTTCCAAGAGAAATAAATTCTCTTAAGAATGACTGAAGTGGCTGGGCGGTGGTGGTGCACGCCTTTAATCCCAGCACTTGGGAGGCAGAGGCAGGCGGATTTCTGAGTTTGAGGCCAGCCTGGTCTACAGAGTGAGTTCCAGGACAGCCAGGACTACACAGAGAAACCCTGTCTTTAAAAAAAAAAAAAAAAAAAGAGTCTGAAGTGAAGTTGGGCCTGCTAGGCTTTAATCCCGGTTGCTTGGAAGACTGAGGCAAAGGATCCAAAGTTTAAGGCCTGCCTATGCTACAAAGTGAGTTCGAGTCAGCCTTGGCAGCGTAATGACAGCAGTGTCTCAAAATGTAAAAAATAAAATTGTTGTAGAGTTAGCTCAGACAGTACAGTGCTCTCCACAAACATGAAGGCTTGAAATTGAGCCCTAGAATCTTCTTTAAAAAAAAAAAATTAGTAGTCTTGGTATGTGCTTGGTTTTCCTGTGCTGGGAAAGGACATAGGCACCCTGGAGCTTACTGGCCAGCAAGCCTAAACACGTTGGCTAGCCCCAGGCCACTGAGAGACCATGTCTGAGAAAACAAGGTGGATGGCTTCTGAGAAATGACACCAAAGTTGTCACTGGCCTCTGAATGCATGTGCACGTATGTGCATCTGAACATACACCCAAAAAAGTTGTTTTTTTTTTTTTTTTTTTTTTTGAAGGACTAGAAGTTGATAAGATGGTTCAGTGCTGAGACATCCTTGGCTTACAAGCCTGACTGGAAGGAGAGAGCTCACTCTGAAAAGTTGTCCGTTATCTATTACCCATGTGCCATGGTAGGCGCACACACCACACATAATGCAATTAAGCATGTACACACAGTCTGGGACATACACACACATACTAATAAAAGGGGGAAAAACCTGGCTCTGTAGCTTACTGATAGTACTTGCATAGCATGTACCAGGCCACAGGTCCAGTCCCTGGTATGGATGAAATTTAAAAAAACAAAACAAAAAGCCAAAACCCTTCGGTGATGGGAACAGTGACATGTGCCCGGAACCAGCCTCCCCTGGACTTCCTAGTAAGCCAGAAGAAACAAAATAGCATCTGGAGAGATTCAGCACTTAAGAGCATTTGCTGGTTTTGCAGATTGTTTTTCGAGATAGGTAGTGCTGGCTGTCCTGCTCTGTAGACCAGACTGGCCTCAAACTCAGCGATCTGCCTGCACAAATATTAAAAAAAAAAAAAAAAAAAACCCACAATCTAGGCTACATGAAACCCCATCTCAAGAAACAAAAAATAATTACAATATATAAACCAATATAAACCAATCGCATGGTAGCACTAATAGAACATTGATATTCCCAAATTTCACTGAAGGAACTTAATGGGAAAATGATATTTCTTTCATATTTTGCAAGGTGTTGTTTCTCATAGCCTACTCTAGGCAAGCACTCTACTGCTGAGCTACGCACCCAGCCCTTGTGAGTTTGTTATTCTTAAAAATGGTATGCCGTGTAAGTCAGGCTGGCCTTGAACCTGCCATCCTAACTCCTCAGCCTTCTAAGTGCTGGGATTACAGGCATGTGCTGCTCTGCACAGGATTTTTGCAAGGTCTGTGGCTTAGGTGAATGTAAACATATTCCCCTCATCTGATAAGAGTCGATTTGTAACGTGAGATCGAGAGTGCAGAGGCACGCACCTGGCGTGTGTGCGTGCGTGTGTGCGTGCGTGTGTAGACTGGTTGTGGCTGTTGAGGCTTGAGTACAGGTAGTCGGAGGTCTGCGTCTGTAGCATTCCACCTTAGTCGGAAGGCAGTATTATTTACTACGTCTAGAGCTCAGTCTGTTTTGAGTAGACCAGTAGGCCTTCGGGACCCTTCTGCTCCGTAACCCCTCACCCTGCCCTTCTGTGGATGCTGAGATCTGAGCACAGTTCTCAATGCACAGCAGGCACCCTGCCCACTGAGTCCTCGCCTTAGCCCTTACCTCATTGTTTTGAAAAGTTGATTCTGTGAGCCCCTAGAAAGGACCATGTAGTCCCCATACCTCATTTCAAAGACCATTGGAAGCCATTGTCACTTTAAGGACCCAATGGTATACCATTCTAGACAACATTTCCTCTCTTAGTCACTAGTCCTAAAGCTTCATTCAAAGCAGTCTCTACTGCCTTCCTGTAGAAAGGGAAGCTAGGATGGCCTATGCTCGCCTTGAGGCTGTCTCTCTATAAAGGCCAAGGAAGAGAAGGTACTTATTTTGGTTTCTCTCATTGGTTTTCAGTCTCACAGACGGCAGCACAACAAAGATAAACCCTTCAAGTGCCACAACTGTCACCGAGCATATACAGACGCAGCCTCTCTAGAGGCTCACTTGTCTACACACACAGTGAAACACGCCAAGGTGTACACCTGCACGATCTGTAGTCGGGCTTATACATCAGTAAGTACTTTGTGTTGTTCTCCCCACCCCATCCCTTGAGACCGCAGTCCACCATGTCCGTGGTAGAGGTCTGTGGGTGACGGGCTGGCTAGTCGTCTGCTTTCCCTTCCTCCTGCTTATTAGAGAGACGCAGAACCATAAACAATGACTCTTCATTCTAGACATAAACGGCTTTTGGGAGGAATTTTCTATGAGATTCTAGAACAAGGTTATAATGGCTTTACTCAGAGGTCTTTGAGAGAAATAGGTTTCTGACTGCCAGCTCAGTGTCCACAGTGACTTCTAAAGGTTCTGTTCCTTTTTGCCCAACTCCAAAACATCCTTTCATAAATAGACACTACAGAATAAGAACCCAGGTTAAGAGTTGTAGGTTGTCTTTTTCCTTTCCTTTTATCTTAACTTTTTTTTATACCCATCTCCCTCAGGAAACATACCTTATGAAACATATGCGCAAACACAACCCTCCTGATCTTCAACAACAAGTGCAGGCGGCAGCGGCGGCAGCAGCAGTGGCTCAGGCCCAGGCCCAGGCTCAGGCCCAGGCTCAGGCTCAGGCTCAGGCTCAGGCTCAGGCCCAGGCTCAGGCCCAGGCTCAGGCTCAGGCCCAGGCCCAAGCCCAGGCTCAAGCCCAAGCTTCACAGGCATCGCAGCAGCAGCAGCAACAGCAGCAGCAGCAGCAGCAGCAGCAGCAGCAGCCACCTCCACAACCACCACACTTCCAGTCCCCTGGGGCAGCTCCCCAGGGAGGGGGTGGTGGGGACAGCAACCCGAACCCTCCACCCCAGTGTTCCTTTGACCTGACTCCCTATAAGCCGGCAGAGCATCATAAAGACATCTGCCTCACTGTCACCACCAGCACCATCCAGGTGGAGCACCTGGCCAGCTCTTAGAGATCCGTACTGCCATCCATTGGAAAGAGGGGAGAGGTCCTGTCTCTCCTTTGTCAACTCTTCTCGGTGGGAAAGTTCTCTTCCTTGACAAGTCCTGTCTCCAGCTCCTTGGGTCTCAGGCATGGCTTTTCTTCGCAAGATAACCATCCTTAATCTCAGCTGCTCCTGATTGGCCAAGGAATCCTGGGCTGATAGTGTTACCCAGCAGCCCCCATCCAAGCAGAGAGCTTTGAAAACTGGGGCTTGGTGCTTGAGAGAAGGATCCGCTGTGACCTCACATCTTGTCCAGTGTGGGGGCACTTACCTTTCTCTCTCTTCATCCTCAAAGTTGGGGCTGATAGAAGACTAGTGGCTGGCCCTCCCAGATGACAGAGAAGGAATCTCTAAATGCCACCAGCCTTCCGTTCTATGCTTACCTGTAAAAGAACAGATTTTGCACGTGGCCTGACCCCTGTGAGCCATTTTCTTCCCCTTACATGGTCTCACTTCATATTGGGTGGTGACTATAACTTTTTATTTGTAAGGGGGCAATAGCTGGTTCATGGTCGCCAAGGTGCCAGAGATTCCCCAGGTGACCAAGGGTGGCTTAAGAGTATGAGTTATGATTTTCCTTACAGCCTCCTTCCTTCTCTGCCAACCAAGGGCCTACGTACTCAGTCTCACTACCCCAGTCCAAGGAGCTCTGGGAGCTGCATTAGCTGTGCTCTCTGCAATGCCATCTGGGCTTTTGCAGAGAGAGAGAATGCAGGGCACACAAAGGACTGGACTTAGCCTCCCTAGGTGCCACGGTCAGATGCCGGACATGGATTTATATATAAATATATATATATAAATATATATATATATACCTGCTCATCACGGCCATCTTTGTTGTAACCATTTCTGTGTTTATAAATGCATTATCTCTGAGAATTTTCATACTGATGTTTTATTTTTGTCTTATTTTTTTCTCCACCTTGTCCTCTGGCCATGGCATTTTAATTTTCTTTTGCCTTTTATTTTTTTAATCATGGGAGATTTCAGATAAAAGAAAATTAAAATCAGGAATTATACAGTTGTTATAAAGCAATTTAAAAATGAAAACTTATGTATAAACTAAGGGGCATTTTTAGAACATTGTGTAGAAATAAATTCATGTTTAAGGATGAGGCAGTGAGCTACTGATGTAAGCTAGCATGGGGAAAGGCTATTTGGGAGATGTGCCAGGACAGCACTAAGGATTTAAACTGGAGTGTGAAGAAGGAATTCTTGGGTGATAAGCCACCATGTGGGTTATTCCAAAGCCATTTCTAGTTTAGGAACAATTGTGTACAAATCCTATCATGGGGATTACACTGCCTACATACATGAGACAAGGTTTCATTTTTAAAAATGGCAATATTCCTTACCCTTTGCTCTCAAAAAAAAAAAAAAAAAAAAAAAGCCAGGCCATTGTGGTGCATGCCGTTCCTCAGGAGGTAGAGGTGGCTTGATCTCTGAGAGGCCAGCCTGGTCTACATAGCAAGTTCTAAGAGGGCCAGGACTACACAGAACCTTTGTCTCTTGCAGGTGGGGTAGGGGCACAGACATGTATGACCTCTTGAAAGGACCTGCACTACCTGTCCCCCCCCCATTTTATCCAAATTCTACTGGGCATTGTGTACATATACATAGTGTCTTAACAGACTGCAGTGCCTAAGACCAGAGGTTTCCAGTGGTGGAAACCATAACCAGCTACTGGGTTTAAGACTGAAGAAAATACCAAATGCAGTGGGCTTCCCATGATGATAATGGTTATCGTGTTCACCTAAAATGGAATACCGTTGTACTGGACAGCATAACAAGAAACCTAAGACTTCTCACAGTCTACCTTGAAAGGATTCGGCTAATTTCCCAAGACTGCTTCATGGAGATAAAATCCTTCATACAGTACTGAAAAACTTGACAAGTGTTCTCATATCTGAGAACTGACCAACTGTCATTACCTAGTGACGCGGATCAATAAGTCTCATTTAACTTGGGACTAGGTTTCCAGAATGGTACCTCAGTATACCCCATTGTTGGTTAGCTGCCTGGTACAGTTTCCTCTCAACCGACTATGGAGGGTTTGACCACCCTCTTCTCATCCCAAGGATTGGAATCAGCACCTCCTTTGTGGGTGAATATCCATTTCCACTTTGGCTCAATGATAATGTTGTCTACTGTTACTCTCATTGTATAGAAAAAAGTGGGCAGAGTCAGTTATCCAACAGCATGCTCTTATATTAGAATGGAGTCCACCTCCTGCTGCCCTGCTTTAGCATCTGAGTAGTAAACTTGGGCTTTTATCGTGCCCTTCTTTACAATATTTGGGCTAAGGGAGCTAAAATTTTATCTTAATGTTATGTGGTGTAACTACTGCGAAAGTTGAGGTGACACCTATTTGCAAGAATCTACCAGCTTCCCTAAAATAGCAGCAACCTGCCAGGCTCTTGGATTTGTACAAGGGGTGATACTTTTGACTAGGGTGAAGGCTGACGTCTATCATACACCTTGATGACCCAGTCTTTTCAGATCATGGTAATACTTGTTCAAAACAAAACATAAACATGGATCTCCATAGCGCATGCCTTTAATCCCAGCATTTGTGAGGCAGAGGCAGGTAGGTCTCTGAGTTTGAGGACAGGGAGGGTTGCACAAAGAAGCTTGTAAAAAAAAGAGTGATGAGAGATGCAAAGGGTTAAATTTCCAAAGCCTGACTACTTCTGAAGAAAGCATCTGCTTCTGAGACTATTCTGCTTAAGCTGGGACTTTGATGGCCAAATTCATAATAAGTAAAACAAAGCAGCTCGATATCCTATTTGTTGAAAGTAGTTATTTACAGAATATAACTAGTCAGAACAGATTCCCCCCATATACCAAATATTCCTGTTTTGGGAGGGAAAAAAGTTTGCTAGAGAATGCAAAATGGCGACTTCACGTGACGTCATATCTGTCGCAGAAACATACTGGCGCTTTATTAAGGGCGGAAGCCAGGTTAAGCGGCCTCGCTGTAGGTGATCGTGAATAGGCGCGTAAAAACGGTCAGTGCCGGGCGGATGTATCCGGGGGCTATAGTTTAGTAAGGGCGGAAGTTCTTTCAGATACGGAAAGGCTGTAATCCTAGAATGGTTACAGCGCCTGTCGTGTTTCAGTCACTTCCGGGGAGGATCGGAAGTTGCTTTGTTTTGCTTCAAGATGGCTGCTGGGATGTATTTGGAACATTATCTGGACAGTAAGACCCGACTGGAGAAGGGGGTCATGGGTCATAGAGTGGTGTAGAGGGTCCAGGTTGACAGACTATATGACTCCGAGGTTCAGGTAGCCTGAAGATCACAGTGGGGAAAGGGTTCCGTGGGAGGATCTATTTGAGGGTGAAGAGGGAGGGGGCGGGGCAGTGGGAATAGAGGCCTCGCTCAAGGTATGGGCGAGGGAAGGGCTTCTCCCTGGGATCAGAGCTGGGTTTAAAAGGGTTAGGGGTAGCAGGAAAAGTATTTGCTGACTCAGTTCTTGAGAGTAGATTTTTCTTTAAGTTGTGCAGGGTCGTTATTTACTCACTGCCATTTGGAACAGCTGCAGATATTTGGCCTAATTCCTTTAGTCATGTATGTCTCAAAAGTGGCTTCTCGTTAAACTTGCTGGGTGGAATAGAGCGGCCACTGAGTTGATCGCTGAAATGCTTTACTTATGAGCAAAATCCAGTTCTCAAAAAATGAAGAGTCTGTCTCTTCCACCCTCTCTTTTTCTCCCCCCCCCCCCCCCCCCGTGTGTGTGTGTGTGTGTGTGTGTGTGTGTGTGTGTGTGTGTGAGAGAGAGTGAGTGAAGAGACTGGGAAGTGAGAAATAGGCTGGGGACATATTAGGCAGACTTCTATGCCAAACTAAGGTATTTGCATATTAAAATAGAGTATTGATTTTAATAAAAGAAGGTAACTGATCAGATAATGGTAGCAATCCAAGCCAGAAGTGCAGACAGACCTAGTCTTAGAGAATGACAGAAAATTTTAGATATTAAACATGGCAAGATTGATTGACTATGTGATTGAGGGAGAAGGAAAATCCAAGGTGAATGCTGCTTGGAAAATAAACTATCATCAGCAGTGTAGGAGATTCAGGAGTAATAACAATGCATTTAATCTTTGCCTTAGAAATAGGCTTAACATCTGACAGATTATTTAAGGAAAAGCCACAGAGACAGTAAAAGACAGTGAGCTTGAGCAAACAGCATTTAAAGGACAAGATGTCAATGCTGCCATTACAAGAAGGCCTCTGATCTAGTATTGGCAATGCTAGGAGGAGCTAAGTTACTTGAAAGAGAAGATAATACCAACTGCGTCAGACAAAAGATGAGTCATTTTGATTTGGTAATCTGTTCGTTACTAGTATTCCTAGTGAACTGGTGTTAACAGACTTAGGTTCAAGTAGTAGAAGCACCTTGTTTTGGTTTTTTTTTTTTTGTTTTTTAGTGTCTGCTATATCCCAGGTTGACCTTGAACTGGATACTTAGCTGACAACGACATTGACCTCCAGGACCTCCTTCCTTCTCCCCAGTGCTAGTGATTATAAGCACTAAGCCTTGTTTAGTAGAAACATTTTTTACATTTGAGTTAGACTCACCTAAACACAAGTTTGGGTAGCACATGCCTTTAATCCCAGCACTTGGAAAGATCTTTGTGAGTTAGAGACCAGCCTGGTATTATACAGTGAGATCTAGGCCAGCCAGGGCTACATAATGAGACCTTGTCTTTATATTTATTTAGGAGATGACATTAGAGCACTCGCCTAACAGAGGAAAGCCCCTGGGATTGAAATTCAGTCTTCACCACTAAAGAGGAAAATCTGCGGTTAAGCTGTGTAAAGAGATTTTGCTTTTGTGGAGCTTAACTAGTAATGCATTTATTCAGTTATTTACTTGATATTTTCTGTAAACAAGGCAGTTCTAAACATGAGGGAAATCTAAAATTGATCCAGGCATATGTCTGTCCTGGAAGGTTAAGGAGACAAACCCAAAGTAACTATTAATTATTTAGTTATGGTTTGATAAGTAATAAAAATACTAGCTAGATTATCCTGACAGCCTATCTATGTAAGGCATTTGTCGGAATCAGGGAAAGTCCAGTCCACAGATTAATCCCTCATTTCAGGGCTGTGCATGTAGCTTCATTGATAGAATGCCTACCAGGCATGCAGGACACCCTAGGTTTGATCACCAATGCTATATACAGCTGGCATATTGACACTATTAGGACCCAACACTTGAGAAGAATCAGAGCCGGGTGGTGGTGGCACATGCCTTTAATCCCAGCACTTGGGAGGCAGAGACAGGTGGATTTCTGAGTTCAAGGCTAGCCTGGTCTACAGAGTGAGTTCCAGGACAGCCTGAGCTACACAGAGAAACCCTGTCTCGAAAAATACCCCCCCCCAAAAAAAAAAGAGAGAGAGAAGAATCAGAAATTCATTGTTGGTCATTCTTGGCTACAAAGCAAGTTTGAGGCCAGCCTGGGCTACAGAGACCCTTTCATACACACACACAAACACTCAATTTCAAATGAAGGGAAGACTGAACCATACTTCATTTTTTTAAATATTGAATTACACTTTAGAAACATATTTTAATTAATTTTTGATTAACTATGCATCCAGGGGAATGTTGTCCCTGTGTGTGTATGCATGTCTCCTTATAACTCAGAAACATTGGATCCCCCAGAACTGGAGTTACAGGTACTTGTAAGCCACTCAGTATAGGTGCAGGGAACCAAACCCTAGTCCTCTGGCAGAGCAGCCAGTACTCCTGTCCTCTGAGCATCTCTCCAGCCCCTGAACTTCACTTGTGTCTATTTTTCTGTTCTTTGTTTTGCCTTTTAAACCAATATCTTATGTAACTAGGTGGCTTCAAACTCCCTGTGTGGCTGAGACTGATGT